ACCCAATCTACATTGTGCTAATAAAAAGTTGGTAGCCCCTACACCATTTGTGTGCAGTCCCATATACATCTTTCTATGTGCAGTGCTTGTTACTTTACAAGACTGGGACAAATTTATTATGATTTTGATGACTCCAGAACTTTGCAGTACACACGAAATACTTACATGCTACATGATCAACTTTCCTGATCCATTTCACACCTTTTCTTTCACAATGCAATCGGATGACCAGAACTCACCTTTATTTTTAAAGTCACTTGGAACATTGTTAAAGGTTGATGAAAAAATTGCTTATTTTTTTAATAAAATGTTACGTACTATATTCCTGTTACTGTACTAACCCTCTGACATGCAAAAAATCCTGAAAAAATTCTCAAACCACGAAGATATCTATATTTTTCTTTGAAGGCGTCGATGTACGACACCTCTAACAGTCATAAATCGTAGTAATATTGTATAGGGTTCAAAGATGACGGACAGGGGTGCTACAGGGGACTCAACAGTTGCCTATAGTCGAATGGTAGACGAAATAAAGAGAGAGAAAGAGAGAGAGAGAGAGAGAGAGAGAAAGGGGAGGGGGAGTGTTTGGTAAAACGAAGGTGAAAAACACTTATCCACACTCTTTCTCAAGTGCTAGGCGTTATAACTCGCATTCCATCCACAAGTAAGACCGTTGGCCCCGAATAATGACAGTTTCTTTATTTACTAGAAGGCGAATTCTCGGTAGGGAGGGGATGGTTGGGTCACAAGCGTCTGTACTGCACTCATTGGTTTGGTTAAACAGGACCATTGAGTGTTTTTAAAGTTATTTGCTTGTCAATTTTTTTTCGTAATTGCCCGTCACCCTCGTTCACAAAATTCTTGAGCCGCCCATTACACCGTTAACACCCCATACCTCTTCTATTTTGACTATTCGATAGGCAGAACCTAATATGAGTTGAGTAGGTTTCTTTATTAAAGAACATTTTCTTTTTTTAAGATCAGCAAAAGCCACATATAAAGAAAATGCCTTTAGTTTCATATATCTATAACATGAGTGCCCCACATTGAAATAAAATTGCAATATTTTCACTAAGTGATGTAGAATGTAAGCGGATCGCACAATATCAATCTTACACGTCACACCTGCATGATGACATTGCGCAATTCTTATCAAACATGCATGGGAATGTGATATGAATTACAAAGACCTCCGGTGCTGACACATTCTATTGTTGGATATAAATGTTAGAACGGGAAGTGGTAGTATCCGCAAAATAACACTTATAATATATAGGGGCGCGCTGGGGGGGGGGGCATTCAAACGGGTTAGCCTCTCTCCCTCTACCAAATGTCCAATTTTAACTCGAAATACAGACATTTTTAAAGATATGCTAATCAAATATCATCAGGAAATATAAAATGCAAAAGATTGAATACTTCACAATGAGCGGGGAGGGTCGACGGTGCTCTGCATGGTTTAAAGACAAAGACTATCGGCTAATTTTTCATCTAGAGTACGATATTGAAGGGGATGGGGTGTTGGTGATTGCCCCTCCCCCTCCCCCACCCACCACGTTGAATATGTTTAATATCTATGACGTATTTCAATGAGTGAATCTCTGAAAACACGCCCTTATATCTTTGGAATTCCCATCTTGCTATTGCGCATGCGCGGGAAAGATACTAGTCAACTCTGTATGTCATGCCATTGTTACTTTTTAAAGTGATTTCGTGATCGTGTCATAAACTGATTGTTAAAAGTCAATAATTATCAAGTGTGATTGCCGAGAATGTGACTTCTTTCGTTATCGTTACATACTTAGATCTTGAATAAGGTCTACGCATACAAATTACAACTGTCGAGATTGAGATTTTAAGAGCATAGGCACATTTGAAATGTTCAATCAACAGCCGCCGACACAGCAGTGGAAATGCATTTTGAACTAAGTTGGCAGATTTGAGAATCCTAGATAAGGTATGCATACTGTATGTGAAGTAATACTTTTATATATCCACGAGTCTGGCCTTTTCTTTGACAAGACATAAATGATCAAGATGAGACTGCATCTCTGTTTTTTTTTTGTTAATATATTTTCAGTGATAATTTTAATATATTTTCTCATTACATTAAAGCAATACTCATATATGTGTTGTTGTACCATTGAATAACTATGCGAATGAGCAAACGCTGATGTAAGATATATAAATGTACCATTTAACTTTCAAATTCGATTCATTGTTATTACGCTTTCATCTGTGGTTATCATAAAGGCCAATGTCAGATGTTTTACCCTATTCGTTTCCCAAAGTACACGCATTCACGTACATTAGTCATAGTCTTATTATTGTACGTCACATGTATTCGACTATTTAACATTTTTTGGGGGCCTGCATGCATCGTTTTTTCCCCCTCTCTTTTCTTCTCTTTATTCAAAACAATCTTTGAATAACTATGGAAATAAGGACCTTTGCTTAAAGTAGATATTCATTGATTTTAAAAACTAACTTTATTTCATCATTTCAAAGTTGAAATTTGATTCGACAAGGTTATCAAAATTCAATGCTTGGAAACATTCGAAGTAGTGATTATTATAAATTACAAAACTTAAATACAGCCCGCAATATCACCTGAAGAGCTCTCCGAACGCTGCTGAGATATGTGAGATCACAGTATGGACATGACTTGCACAAGCAGACGATGTCCCATGACATCTCACACATTTTCAGTGCCTGTGTTTTCATCTTCTCTTGAGTTATTTCTCTTACTTCACTACCGTCAGGCTAAATGTATAATCTATTGCCTCACTCTTAAACCCCGCGCATGGTTTTATTTTGATGACAAATGCAGTGATACAAAAATAAAGGAATCTGTCGCTTGTAAACAAAATAAGACGCCATTGTATATTCAGCTGCACACACCGGTGTATGTTCGGCGTTTCAAGAGGGAACAAATGCCGTCCTTAATATCAGTCCGGGGGGTTTTTCAATTTGAAAGTCTGGTTTCTTTGATTGTTAATTAACCCCTATATATCCTGTGTATTTACAAGCAAAATATTTTAGCTATCAGAATCGGGTCATATCACCTTTTGAATGGTTTGACATGCCATTACATTTATATACAGTAAACTCATTATAATTTGAGAAATAAGAACTTTGCAATTATGTTCATTCTCTATGGGATGTCGTCTGCTTGGGCAGTGTTGGTCCATATAGTGACGTCATAAAAACATCGTTATTTTCCCGGCGAATCTCTCGTATATCCTAGCTGCTATGGAGGTGGTTGTATTTGTATTTGTATAAATCACCCGATATGTAGTTGACCTAAAACTTGTCTGATGGCCATCTGTTAGCTTACCAGTTTCTAGTGATACATTAGTTGACATATTTGGGATCTTCTTTGAATTTCACCTTTAACAAATCATACATATTATTTCTCTGAATGCCTGGCCGAGTTTCGACTGATTTTATTTGTTACTATTATGCAACTTTGGTTATCTATAACTTAACTACTGCTTCTGTGTATTACTTTCGCTAAAACCATGGTATTCTCATACCCCCTGTAAATCCCTAATCACTTGTCTCCTCATTCCCAGGGTAGAGAAAATTTAGCGTTATTATGTTTGAAATTCAAGTTTTAGGGTACAACTTTCAACAGCACAACGGTACGCTTTAATTGAAATGACGCAAAGCTATTACTAAAGGGGCTGTCCTTCCTGATATTAATTTGATTTTCATAGAAAAAGACAATTAAGGAACAGGGCAGTGAAAGGTTGAGAAAATTCTGATTAAAAATGATCAAGTTATGAATATGTAAACTTCCGATCAATCAAACATAAATTGGCCACATTGTGACATATCTCGCGAGCTTCTATCCAATTTGCTCTGTACATACAATTTCTTCTTTTTTTCTTGAGGGGGGGGGGGGGGGGGGGGCTCCTGTCGAATTTGCGTTGAGTTTTAATTTTTTTCAACTCTTGAGACATTATAAATCATAGTATTATTGTAATGGGTCCCATAATGTTGGCGAGGGCGCAACAGGGGACTCAAACAGGTGGTGTAGTTTTTAGGAGTATACGGGGGGGGGGGGCATTATCCCAGTCGAATAGCATAGACAATGAAAGAGAGACAACGAGAAGGGGGGGGGGGGGGCGTTCGGAGAAAAGAAGATGATATGACACTTCTCGACACCCTTTACCATTTGTTACACGTTTTAATTCGCATTCCATCCACCAAGTAAGATCGTTGGCTCCAAAATTATGGGAGTGCCCCTTACTTTACTGGACCAAAGCAGGGGCGAATTCCAAAAAGGGGAGGTAGGATGGGTAAGTCACAGGCATTTCTACCCCACTTTTAAGCTTGGCTGAAGAGGACCATTGTGTGTTTGTTTTATAATTGATATGCTTGTCACAATTATTTCGTAATTGCCCCTACCCCTCTTTTACCAAATTCTGAAGCCACCCATTCCATTTTTAACACCCCACTAAACTCAACCACCTCTTCTCTTTTGAATACTGGATTGACTGTACCTAATATCAGTTGAGTATCTCACTCACTAAGGAAAATTTTCTTTTAAGATCAGCAACGCCAAATTAAAAAAAAATGTTTTTAGTCTCATCTACATTTAACATGAGTGCCCCCACATAAAATAATTGCATTATGTTCACTAAGTGATGCAGAATGTAAGCGGATTGCGCAAGACCAATTTGATACGACACATCCGATGGTGACATTGCGCAAAACCGATTGAACATGCACGAGAACAGGATATGGATTACCAAAGATCTACGGTGATGACACATTATATTTTTGAAGATGAATGTTAGAACGGAAAGTGGTGTTGTCCGCAAATAACACTAACAACATTTATCGGGCAGGGGGGGGGGGGCGGAGTTGTGACCAATATACAATCCTGTGATAATTTTGAGTGTAAAATAATAAAATAATAAAATATTTTATTAATCACGAAAAGAGGGTGCAGAATGGATTTAATACGCCCTCCCCATTTAAGGTTCATAATATATATAAAAAAAACGCAAATATTCTTGATGGCTGTGAACGTCTGAACATGAAGGACAAAAAAAGCACTTGTTTCACTTTTCTACCGGGAGTGTGTCTTCATTCAGACAATGGTCATTTGGACAACTAATCCCCGGAAAATACCCTCTAGAACAGTTAACCCATGTGGACAAGTATCCCCCGGAAAAGAATCTTCTTTTGAATATTAAAACCAACTTATTATCAGGGTAGAATTCCCCTTTAATGAACAGGAGGGGGTGGCTTTGATAGTTTTTTTTTCAGGGGTGGGGGTGATTGTCCACGGGGTAATTGTCCTCGTGGGTAGTTGTCCTTGGTCGTCCTGAGGGGGGGGGGGGGGGGTAATTATCATAGGGGGTTATTTTCAGGGGGCGGGGTAATTGTGCTAGATGGTTATTTTTAGGGGGTGAGGAGGGGAATTTCTCCGGGGGGGGGGTAGCAATTGTCCGCGGTGGTGATTTTCCTATGCCTCTCATAGCAATCACTATATCTATAATATATAGCTGGCCTATTCTTACGCTTGTAGAAAGGAAGGAAAACAACTGTGGAATAACTTAATAATAGGCGTACTGAGAAGAACATGTCGATACACATGTATAGTTTATGCTTTGTAATGAACCGCCAGATTAAACCCGTACTAATGAGAAATTCAATTTGGAATATGGTCGAAGCTACGAGCTTGGCTCTTGTTTGACATTGACCGAGGAGCACTTGGAGACAGAGCATGTTCCATAGAAACCCGAAACACCTCTAGCTAAGCGAGCCGTCTCTGGATTTATTGGCCAGGCCTACGAGAGCATTATGAATCATAAACATGTAAACATAAACATAAGGTGTTAACCTAAACTTTATTTGATAATGAAATAGGCCAACGGGTATGCATTGAATATGATGTTATTATTTCTATAAAACAATATATATATATATATATTATATATATACCAAGTGGTAATCTTACCTCGGTAAATCATACTGTTGCTTATGTTTTACCCTAGAAGACGTAAGGTGAAGAACACACCTTAAAGGATGGACCGTGAGAGAGGTGGACATCGAGTCGGCTACCAAGGTGGCAGAGGAAGAGGGGTCGAGGAGGCTACCGGGGAGGACGAGGAAGGGGTGGAGGAGGAGATGACAGGGGAGGATGGAGAGACAGGGACGAACATGGAGGACGTCGAGATGGGAGAATGGAAGAAAGAGGAGGAAGGAGAGACGGAAGGGGTGGCAGAGGAGGTGACCGTGGAGCAGGGGGGTGGAGGAGGGATAGAGAGGAAGAGGGAGGAGACCGCCATTGGAGAGGGGGAGAAAGGGGAGCAAGGGGAGGAGGAATAGGCAACCGTCCAAGAGGAGAAGAACAGGAACATGACGATGCTGGAGCTCAGGGAAATAGGTGAGCCGCTATTTTAAATGACCTCTGATACCTTAATTACACTGACAAGACCGACTCCAGAAGAACAATAGAACAACAAAACTATGATAGACGCATATAGAAAGCAAACTACACTGAGTGGTCATGAATTTAATTGTTTAAAGTCGGTTGCGGACGGTTTGACTGAGGTGAAAATAAAGCATAAACCATAGACCTTATAAAATGATGATGATTTCATAAAGAACTTTTGGGACAATTGTGGACATTGTTATTCCCAAACACAGAGAAATAAAAGGTGTTCTTGGGGAGTAAAACGAAATTGGAAAAATAAGGCGCTCCTATTACACCTTTTAGGGAGTAAAACACGGAAATACGCAAGGGTGTATATTTAAGGGATGTAATTTTACACTCTATTTTAGTCAGACGAGCTCTGATTGGTCAGTGCATATGCGCATGCGCTACAGCAATGGCACATCGTGTCAATATAGGTACTGCCAAATGAAGAAAAATTAGCATAATTTACATATTTTAGTCATGTTAGGGGAATTATTATGTTTCATTTGGGCATATTATTTGTGTGAAAGTTATCTGATCAAGAATAAGGGGTTGTACCGAAGGTTATATTTGATAATTTAATGAAATTAGCAGAAGCGTTGTTTTACTAACTAGTACATAATTGTCTTCTTATACGTGTAAGTCTAAAGGGAAGATATTCGGTATAACTGAAGAGATACAAATAACTAACAAGTTATGTTTGTCTGAAATGAAAGCGGTATTGAAAATAGAACTATACAAGAGTTGGGAAGAGAAATGGCGAAATTACAATAAAACAAACGTAAGACCTTTCAAAGCAACAATTCAACATAACTTTGAGAGTACCCTTTTTAGAGACTGCGAAGTCATACTTCGCAGGCTCAGACTTTGCAACATAGGAATAAATTCAGACCCCTCAAAAATATGGGTATCCCAAACAACCCAACCTGGCCAAGCCAACACAAATTTGAAATACTGTAACACCCTTGAAACAATAACACACTATCTGATGGAATATCCAAAATATACAATAGAAAGAGCAATGCTGATAATGGAAAGCGATATAACGAGCCCAAACGAAATAATGAAACTCCTAAAATCAACAGAAAGTGCGACCCAGAGAGCACTGATCCACTTCGTTCGTAGAACGAGGCGTTTCGAGTGTTCCTACTAGTCTTTTGTTTTTGATTTTTTGTTTTTTTGTTGCACATATCGCACGACAACCAAATGCTCTAAGATGTTGATACCTGCTTTGATAGAAAAATAAGGTTTTACAAAAGGAAAAATACTATAAGAGAAAAGGAAAGAAAGAGTAAAGACGGATTGAGGATGGTAAACCCCAAACAAGAGACTCTGAAGACCTACCCCAGAATCTTCTCACCGGCACTAGAGTTGCCTAGGCCAATGATGGCCAAGAAGATTGCGCAATGTACCGCGCCGGTCTGGCAGGAAGGTGCCAATTGCGGTGAGGGTTTTTTCATGGACCAGTAGATCTGAGATTATATTATCAAAAAAGAAAGAAAAAGAGAAGAGTACGAATTTACAAATAGAAACAAAAAAAGGTGAAAGGTGTAAATATTCTAAAAAAGAATGAAACGCCGATAATACCAAACAACAACAACGGTAAGGCAGGACTGTGTAATTAGCTAATTTCATTACATTTGAACCGATACGTCCAGCCATAAGTTAGTTCTTACAGTCTACACTTGTGTTGAGTTCACACTAATTGTTGTTTAGGTAAGCATTAAAGCCTTTCAACATATAACTCGACATTGTGGACTGATTTCTTTAGAGCAGTGAAACGTAGACAAAAGGGTGAGAATCAGTGACTGTTAGGTGATTACGAAGCATGGATGATTGATTGCTCGGGGGATGATCGATTGGTTGATGCTGTGCATAAAAAGGGTGTAGGTTTACTCCCCACAGGGTGTGGAATCGATCATAAAGGGTTTAAAATTCAACCCCACGGGTGTAAATTTGAACCCATTTTTCATGAAAAAGGAACCAAAAGGTGTTAAATGAGCACCATTGGGTGCAAATTTCACTCCTTAAAAGGATTACAATCATAACCTTGGGGTGCAAATTTACACCTTCTTATGGAAAAAAATAAATTTACTCTCTACATTGGGGAGTAAATTTACTCCCTGAGGGGTGTCACTTATGTGACAAGCAATTACTCCCTATAGGGAGTCAATTTACACCTACTTTTCTCTGTGTGCACGTCACAGAAATAAACTTAACGTTTGCGATACTTTGTGTAACCAAAGCATATTATTGATTATTTCTTGGCGGTGTTATTTTTTCTGAAATGATTAAATGTTTATAGAAAATATAGGTCTATATGGGATAATATGTAAATGGATTAATGTTGCATCATTTCATACGGCATGCTATCTATTTGTGTGACTAACTTGAAACTCAGAGTGCTGAGTAAAATAATTCTTATGCCTCACAAGTCATGTCCCGAGTTCAAAGTTTCAAAAGAAATTCACTGACTGTACTGTACAAATGTGGACTTGCATATGGAGTATCACAACAAAAAAGAAATGCAACGAGAATTTGATTGGAAATATATTCAAGAAGTGCTCATCCATTCTCAGCGAAACGTCTTAGATAATATTGTATCTAATAATATTTGCATGAATATCACAAGGGTCCAATGTTACAAAGTTTTTATCTTTGTGAAGTGAACCAATTTGTAACTGTTAGAAGTTTAGCGCGTTGAATTGCACAAGTGCAAATTGTTCCTGAACATTTCCTGGCTAGCTCTCTAAATAACTTCAAATCACATTACAAAGGGGGTGTCAATAGATTTATAATTAATGTAATTTATGCAAGCATTACGGTCACTGCTCACGTCATAGTGATCGAAATATGATTAAGTTGAAGATTGTTTGCACCAAAAACTTCTTGGAATATTCTCTTTTGTTTCTTGTACTTAGGATATATTTCAAACTCATATTTATGACAATTGACGAATGCTATATTTCAAATCTGGAATGCTTCAGTGGTGATTTCATCATGAGATTATGAGTTAGACTGACTTGCAGACGCGAAATGTATACGTTTATTGTAACATTTGGAAATTGGTGTGTCTTACCAAAACAAACACAACTTTGCAGTCGTACCATAAATCCTTGTGAAATTCACATGAGGTTCAGGAGACACTGCTAGAGTATAGCTTATGAAATTCCATTGAGGATGGCTATGTACTTTTGATATGTTGCCAATTGGTATCTTGTCGCATTTGTTTTGGTACACCCCGTATGGGACTATTAAGAAACAGGAGAAAAGGGATGAGAACATGAAGCTAAGTTCAAAGAACAAGGTGAGGTTGTTCACACATTTTTAATAAATAGCAATATTAAAACACTAGTAGTGAGAAGTTTGCACTTTGAATAGAATTGAAATATGAATAAACGACTAATATTTTCTCATAAACCAACATCTTTTTGAGAGGATATACAATTGACTTTTTTTCCTTCTAATTACGTAGAATATAAACTTTGAAGATTACCTGTGTTTGCTCTTTATCAAATTTCAAAAATGTAGGAATCGGCGCGGCGAGCCTCACCACAACCAAGCAAGGGCTCCTCGAGTGGTTCATCCTTTAGGCTATAAAACACTAGAACAGCTCTTGTCAAAAGACCCCGACGACGCAGTACAAGAGTTAGGTTCTCTCAAGCAAGGTCTGGGCAAGCTTCTAGAAATGACGGATATACGCTATGACCTGATATCGCTATTGTTTCAGGTCTATCACCATGTCTGCCAGGCGCAGGTGTCCAATGAAACTATCAACATGCTGCTAGATATGCTCGGAAGGAACAACTTCATCAACAGACATCTCAACGGCCATCTTATTGTAATGAGGAAAGAGAAAAACCAGAACAAACTACGGGTCATGCCTAGATGCATTCAGGATATCGCAATTGTCCTGTCAGAGCTACAGCAACGCCTTCCAAGTTACTTGACAGATGTTGAAGTTGCTGTAACACTCCTTGAAGATGCTGTCAGATACACAGAGAAGAAGAACATACTTGTGGATAAGACAATTCAAGACGAGGTACGCCAACTTGTGAAATTTCATGAGACAATCCAAGAGGAAAAGCTAAAGAAGACACGTACGGATATCGAACCCGCAACACCTCCTCCAGATAATTACCGTGAGCTCAGTGTGTTTCCAACTTCTAATGAACTGACAGATAATTCCCTGCGTCCTTACCTTCGACCAAACATTACGAAGGGAAAGTATGAAAGTGTCGAACATTATCTTGACGTTCAATTTCGTCTTCTCCGAGAAGACTTTGTCCGCCCACTTAGAGAAGGCATTAGTGAGTATAAAATAGCAACAGCTCGACCAGGGAAACGTGACAAACGCTTCCAAGACATCCGTCTATACTATGATGTAACACTAGACGAACCACTGTACTCACAAAGTGGAGTTACGTTCAGGATTCACTTTGATGAGTCTAAACTCAAAGGCGTTCGTTGGCAATCTTCGAAGCGACTGATCTATGGTTCACTCGTCATCTTGTCACCTGATGATTTCAAGACCCTCGTCTTCGGCACAGTTGCAAACCGAAAGCATGAGGATTTGGCCAAAGGCTTCATTGAAATCAAGCTCGAGAGGGACGAAGAAATTGCGGAGATCTTCACCGAAAAGACATTCATCATGGCAGTCTTCAGCATACTTCGAAGCTTACCGACATGTCCTGAGTCGCATAAAAAATGTCACTGAGCAGTCAATGCCCTTAACTGATTACATCATATCAGCATCAAAAGATGTTCGTCCACCTGCCTACATCCGGAACGATCGCTCCATTAAATATGATCTATCATCCATCGTCTCTGATGATGTTCCAAACGCAAAGCAAACTGCAATGCGTATGAAGACTGTGAGGATTCTCGATGATCGCGAATGGACAAGACTAGGGAACACTGGTCTTGACAAGTCCCAGCTTAGCGCCGTGAAAGCAGCACTTACTCAAGAGATGACGGTCATACAAGGCCCACCTGGCACTGGAAAAACCTACATCGGGTTGAAGATAGTTCACACTCTTCTCGAAAACAAGCGCATTTGGAAAGAAGCTCAAGTTCTAGGACTGGCCGGACACGCAGACCGTTCAAACAAACCAATCCTACTCGTCTGCTATACAAACCATGCTTTAGATCAGTTTCTGGAAGGAGTTGCAGATTATAACAGTGAAGGTATCGTGAGAGTTGGTGGTCGAAGTTCTAGCGAGGCTCTGAAGCGGTTCAACCTCAATTCACTCAGGAGCTCAAAGCTTCGAGAAGAGACACCTCGACACGTGAGACGTAGAATCGGAGAGGTTCGTGGCGAAATCGAAGGTCTCGGGAGAGAAGTCAAGGGCTTCAGGACAAGATTAACCATACGAGGAAAGGACTACTTCATGAAAAAGTACTCATGAAGCACATGACTGACGCACAAGAAAGAAGCCTCAACCAAGGAAATTTCTACGCAGTAGGTGGCCAGTCCCTATCGTCCATTGGCTCCTTGGTGATATTCAGATGAGACCTCTACCTGAGGAGCTTGATGTTCCTGAAGATAACGGACCACAAAATGAAGACGAAAATGACGAAGGAGAAGAAGAGCTTGATATCTTAGAGGAGGCGGATCTCCTTGACGAGATGAGGCGCCTGGACGTTGACGACCATCGAAATAGAATATTCACAGGCGATGCGAATGCCAACTTCGATGATGACACTTTGGCTTTCCGACTTAACGACCTTGACAACTTGGAAGCGGGAGGGTGGCAACAAGACCGACGGCAGCTCAGAAATAGGAAGCACAACTTGGAGAGAAAACTCAGGAGTAATGAAAGAATGTCCGACCAAGAAGCAAACGCCGTTAGGGATGTTTGGGGTCTTGAAGAAGGAAACCGATGGAGATTATACCGATATTGGGCTCATTTACATCGCCATGAATCTCTTCGTCAGCTCGTGGATATGCAACGGCAATTTTCAAATGTTTGTCAGGAGCTTCGCGAGGCACGCAGTCAAGAAGATTTTGAAATCCTCAAAAATGCCTCGGTCGTTGGAATGACAACAACTGGAGCTTCCAAGTTTCATATGCTACTTCAGAGAATCCAGCCGAGGATTATGGTGGTCGAGGAAGCTGCAGAGGTCCTAGAAGCCCATATTGTGACTGCATTGACTGAGTCATGTCAACATCTCATATTAATTGGAGATCACCAACAACTTCGGCCAAGTCCTACGGTCTTCAAATTAGCTACGCAGTATAACCTGGACATATCTCTGTTTGAACGTATGATCAACAATCGTGTACCTCATCAGCGCTTGATCCTACAACATAGGATGAGGCCTGAAATTTCTCGACTCATGAGGATGGAAAGATTGTACCCATATCTCCAAGATGACGTCTCTGTGAAGAAGTTCGACGATATCCACGGGGTTACAAAGAACATCTTCTTCCTTCATCATGAAATGGAAGAAGATTTTGTGGATGAAATGAAGAGTCACTCCAACATTCGCGAAGCAAAGTTCTTGGTAGGACTTTGCAGGTACTTCTTGCAGCAGGGCTACCATCCAGCGCAGATCACGATATTGACTACCTATTCCGGTCAACTCTATGCCTTTAAGAGGTTGATGAAAAAGAGTGACTTTGAAGGTGTCAGAGTTGCTACAGTTGACAACTTCCAGGGAGAGGAAAACGACATAATTCTACTCTCTCTCGTTCGCAGCAACAAGCAGGGAAGTGTTGGCTTCTTGAAGATCGACAACAGAATCTGCGTAGCGCTCTCGAGAGCAAGAATGGGTCTGTACTGCATCGGAAATTTCAAACTCCTCGCACAACAAAACCCAACTGGGCCAAGCTTGTGGAGGGAAATCGTGAAGGACGCTGAAATCTATGGCACCATCGGAAAATCCCTTAAGCTCCAGTGCAGAAATCACACTGGGACACAAAATGAGGTTTCAAGTGAAGCGGATTTTTCAAAAGTCCCAGAAGGTGGTTGTTCTGTACCATGTGAGGCACGTCTTACCTGTGGTCATGTTTGCAGAATGCCATGCCCCCACCGACATGAAACATGAATACTACAAGTGCCGTCGAAAGTGTACTCAGACAATTTGCCCCTTAGGTCATGGATGCATGAAGCAGTGCTACCAGCCTTGTGACACGCAGTGCAAAAAATCTGTCGATAAGACACTGCCTTGTGGTCACGTCCAGAAGGTGCCTTGCTACAAAAGCAGCTCAGAAGTAATCTGTGAATCTCAATGCCGCAGGAGACTGGATTGCGGGCATCAATGCAAGGAGCTGTGTGGAAAGGGCTGTACAGTGGTCTGCCAGGAAATGATTCGTCATTCTGACTGGCCTTGTGGCCATAATGTCCTCGCCAAATGCTCTGTTGGTCCTGAGTCCTGTTCGCAACCATGTGATAAGATTCTGAGTTGTGAACATCCGTGCAAGGGTTCATGCGGCAAGTGCCACCAAGGACGTCTTCATGCATTCTGCCGAGAAAAAATGTGATCGTACACTCGTTTGCGGTCACCCATGCCGGTCGACGTGTGCGGCAGATTGTCAACCATGTTCAAGAAAGTGCGAAAACAGATGTCAACATAGCAAATGCAAGAAAAATTGTGGAGAACCTTGTGTCCCGTGTGCAGAGAGGTGCATATGGCGATGTCAACATTTTCGATGTGAGGCACAATGTGGAAAACCATGCGACAGACGTGCGTGTAATGACCCTTGTACACTCCTGCTGAAGTGTGGCCACCCTTGCATCGGACTCTGTGGCGAACCATGCCCCAAGAAGTGCAGAATCTGTGATAAGGATGAAGTAACTAGGATCCTCTTTGGCGACGAAGAGGACACGATGATGCTCGGTGAGATTTATTTGTTATTTTTCACAAATACATTCAAAAAGAGATTTTAAGGAGGTTGGGCCCTAAATATGTCAAATGTCTTTAGATTTATGTTCATATATAGAAAAAAACGTATAAAATATCTTGTGATAAAGTTTACTTACGAAATGAAGAGGATGAAATGCTAATTCGAAGAATGGAGTGCAATTACTTGACAGTTTCGTTAAACAAACAAAAACAAAACAAAAAAGAAGACAAAAATGATAATTACTGATGACGATATGATATAAAAATCTTACCTTTACTCTATAATTACGTGCAACTTCAATTTACAGAGTACAACGATTTAACAATAATATTTTTTCTCAAGTGTCGCAAATAAGACGTTACGTCCATATCATCTCTCCTGTTCAGGTTTGTGGAGTTAGAGGACTGTAAACACGTGATTGAAGCGAATGCCCTGGACCAATGGATGAAGACGGACAGTGGAAGCAAAGACACGTCAGAGGCGACCTCCATTCAGGTATCAAGAATTATTTGTCGTAAATATTTTGTTTTACTATTCTGTAAACACTTGCATTGAGAACGCGGTGAAAAACAATTCATTTTTTGTTGTTGCTTATTACTCATGTTTGCTGTTTTGATGAAATGGAATTTGTAACGTCTTTTAATTTCTGTTCCGACACAATTTTTGACTAATTAGAGGTTGCTTCTTTATTGTTTAAGATATTTCCACGTTATCTTTAAACATTTTTCATTGCTCCAATAATAAAAAAAAGAAAGAAGAAGTACAACGAATTTGAACATAACGATGGGAATCTCGACCCATTTTTCAAAACGTACGTGTTACATTAAAAAGGAATTGAAAGGAAAATGATATGTAAGCCATTTCTGAACTTTTTTTTATTCCTTTGACAGCTGAAAGAGTGTCCATGGTGCAAAACACCGATCAGACGCAATCTGCGATACGGAAACATCATCAAACAAGCACTGGATGATATAAATGCGGTTAAAAGAAGAATCTTCGGCAACGAAAGGACAATCCAAAATCTCCGTCAGAACCTACAAGAAAGAATTCATCGAGAAGTGGTGTGTGCCATAGCAAGGGATCAGCAACTGTTCCTATTATTCGAAACCATGGTCAGTTCGACGCTTGCGTTGAGCCATGGACAAATCACCGCTTTGGAAAACAGAGTCCGCTTTCAGGAGGAAATGATAGACCTGGCTACAGAATTGCAGTCGCTGCGATCTCCATCCCTAAATCAGCAGTACGTTAAGCAGATGAAGAGTGAGATAGTTGTCCTGCAGACTTGGTTGTGCCAGGAGCCCATAAACAGGATGTCCCAACAGCAGACCGGTGACGCCAACAGAGAAGCGAAGAGGTTCCACTTAGCCTTGAATCTTTTCAAGATCCTGGTCAAGAAACCAGCTGCTCGTGACAAAGCCAGCGAAGAGGTCAAGGCCGCCGAGCTTCAACTCTTTGACGGAAAGGCTATGACTGCCCAACGAGCAAATGAAGTCAACGATCTACTCAAGAAGATCGATTACAAGTCCGGTGGGTTGGGAATTAGCGAGAAAGAGAGGAAGGAAATAGTCGCCGCTATAGGTCTGACCACAGGTCATTGGTTAAAATGCCCCAGAGGGCATGTCTACGCCATCGGAGAATGTGGTGGTGCCATGGAGACGGGAAAGTGCCCTGAATGTGGTCAAGTAATTGGGGGCACCCAACACCGACTGACAGAGGGCAATAGGGTTGCTTCAGAGATGGACGGGGCGCGATATGCAGCATGGTCGGAAGAAGCTAATAACATGGCGAATTTCGACCTGAATGATTTGCATTAGAATTGAAATTTGATAGCATTTGGTAAGCATACAGGCTGTCCTAATATTATCGTAGACAACTTTATTTCCCTTCTCCGATAGTCCTCTCATTCACTTTTTCATATTTAAGATGTTCGGCATTCATTACCAACTGTCGACATGTATACCGTCGAACATTAACTGAAGTAGAAATCAACTACACCTTCTCTTGACGTTATTTCTCATGATATTTTCAATAGAGATGCCATGCTGATGTTATCAGAAAAAAACACACATTGTAAATTTAGTTATTTGAAGTCATTTAATTTGTGATGCCTCCGCTACAAAGTAGCCGAAGGCATTATGTGTTTGGGTTGTCCGTCCTTCCATACGTCACGTTCTCGTGATCGCGTTATCCCAAGAACTGATTGATTGATTCCCGCCAAACTTAGGTCGTGTATCTATCTTGCAGAGCCTATGAGCTGATTAGATTTTGGGGTCACGAGGTCAAAGGTCAAATGTCACAGGGCTCATTATGTATGCAAAAATAGCTCGTGATAGCGTTATCTCAAGAACCGATTGATGGATTACCGCCAAACTTGGGTCATGTATGTATCTTGCAGATTAATAATAATAATAATAATAATAATATTGGATTCTTATATAGCGCACGTATCGACCTTGCAAAGGTCCTCAAGGCGCTCCAACATTACCCGGCTATGCTAGGCTGCCGATTTCGACGCTCACAGCATTTTAAGGAATTCCTTCCTACCGGTACCCATTTAACACCTGGGTGGAGAGTGGCAAATGTAGATCAATGTCTTGCCAAAGGACATTAGTGCCGCGGCGGGACTCGAATCGCGGACCTTGTGATCGACAGTCCGGCGACGTATCCACTCATCCACAACACCTCTACGATTCAATGAACTGATTAGATTTCGGGGTCATTAGGTCAAAGGTCAAAGGTCTTGGGGGCTCATTTATACAAAAATTGTCAATTTTCAATAGAACCGACGGATGGATTAATATCAAACTCAGGACATGTATGTTCAAATTTTTAAAATTGTTTCGTGGTGGAGGCATCGCAGTAGAAGATCCATCCTAATCAAGAATCCAAAATACAGTAGGTCTAACTGTTAAATTGAAAAAAATTAACCATTGTTGCTTCAACATACGAAACAATCAAGCAGTAAACAAAAATGTATATATATTAGTAAATAATCTAGAATTGACCAATGAAAACCTGTGTAGGGCAATTTTAAATAGTGTGTCTCCTAAATGCCTTTCCCATTTATTTCATTCAAAAATAAAAAAAAACATCTAGATATGACCATTTCATAAACGTGATGATACCAGAAAGAGCTAATGGTCAAAAGTCATATCAAGATATTTTATTTGTAAATGAAATAATTGGATAAATGTTCAAAGTCGAAAGGAACACAATGCATGGAATCACCTTATAGTTCATCGAACTATAAACAAACAAGACAAGAATGAGAACCAACTTTGAACCGAAGGTATTTACACATTCAATAGAACCATACGTCATCCCCACGTCACATCCGTTTTATTGAACTTGTTACAAGTTACAATAACTGTTACAAGTTACAATAACTGTTATAAGCTACTGAAATCGTTGCATTTAATTGGCTGCGACCATTTTGTTTCCATTTTGATCGTGTATTGTATTATGTTACCACTCGTATGGAAAATGCTGTATATTTTACATTTCATATATTAACTCATCCATTGTATGTTATGAGAGCAGAAAACCGCCCATTATGGGTCAAATTTCGCATTTAGTGCTGCCAATCGGACCGGGGCGGGGTGGGTCAAATGTATAATACTGCTTGCGTTAACTATAAGTGCATTACAGATATACTTAACGAGTAAATAAATAAAAAAGTATATTATTTGATTATCAGTTAGTAAACTACAATTATTGTACGTGTCATATATTTTCTTAACAATATGAACAAATCTTTTTTGGGGTATAATTTCGGCGACTGTCGCATAAATATTACTGATATGTTTGACCATAATCCTATTAAAGATCAGAGGTAATATATTACACATTGGAATGCAAGCAAGTGTTTGCAAATGATTGTGAACAAGATTTGTTAATTGTTTGCCAACTGCTAGATAAAATATGACATCACTTTATATATAGTGCATCACAGCTTTCCGTTGTCATAATAGAGATGTTATACTTATCACTTATCAACTAATTAAGTTATTTTAAAACCAATGTGTAGACTTTATTGTAGTTATTGTATTGTAAGTCTTAAATCCTGAGGTTTTAGTTCATGTTCATGTACGTGTGTGTATATATGAGAGAGGGGAAGATAGAGAGAGAATATGTGTGTATGTGTTGGTGAGAGAGAGAGAAAGAAAAGAGGTGTATATGTATGAGATAGAGAAATATAACATGTGTGTGTGTGATGTGTGCGTACTCGTAGGTGTGTGATTGAGAGAGAGAGAGAGAGAGAAGAGGATTGTATGTGTGAGTGTGAGAGATATATGTAAAGAGAAGATGTGCGTGTGTGTGTGTGTGTGTGTGTGTGGGGGGGGGGCTAGGTGTGTAAAATATGCAACAATGGCATTTCACAAATTGTATGTGAACGCTTGTTATTATTTCGCAATACCCGGTTATGTTGGATTTCCCCAGGCAGATGTTGCGCAATAGCATGTAGAAAATGTCAGCGCAGCTTTTATTTATTTACCAATACCATATATAGTCCTAGACAGGGGCAACGATTTCTTTTCATGACCAGGGGGGGGGGGGGGAGAGAGAGAAATGTAAGGGGCGAGGGAGCATAGCGTAAACTGTACGTGCGTGATCCCAACGGAATACAGATTTTCTACAATACTTACTTGTAGGCCTACATTTTGAAGGATATTATGCGAGGGAGCGTAGCGACCGAACGAGACATTATTTCCTTTTTATTAATCGTTAAGCTGCACTCTTGGGCCCTCCAACACCGAACAAGTTTGACGTAGTCTTTAGAGTCAGTATTTTCCTTACATATTTTTGCAATTTTTTTTAAATTTTCAGGTGGGGGGGGGGGGGGGGGGAGGGGGGCGAGTCCCCCATCCCCCAGGATCGCCGCCTTTAGGCCTAGGCATACATTATTTGAACATAGTGGTTGTCTTTCAGGAATTCATGGTATTAATTTACGTTATGATGAATGAGATGCGATTGGAACGATTTTCAGTAATGCATACAATGTTACCAAGAAAGTTGGAATATTTTTCTTCACCTCCTTTCATTTAAAATAACTGTTACAATTGATTCTTGATAACATTCTATCTTTTAAGAGCTTTATTGATCAATCTCTACGACCCTTCAGATCTATAAAACTATGAAAATACGTAACTGTTATCTTCATCTATAAATAATAAATCATATTTTGCAATTATGTCATGAAAAGAGGTCAAGAAAAAGTATTCCAACTTTATGGGTAACAGTGCACAGGTGTATTTTTGTCTACCTTGTCATTGACAAACAGTGACAGGCGAGTAAGGCTGTTCAAGTGTGAGTCTAGGATTTTCATGCGTGTGTGTGTGTGTGTGTGTGAGAGAGAAGATGCGTGTATGAGAGAGAGAGATAGAGATAGAGAGAAATAAGATGTGTGCGTGTACATGTGTGTATATATGAGAGAGGGGGAGAAATATGTGTGATGTGTGAGTGCTTGCGTAGGTAAACGCCATCAACCGCGGACCACTCCATAGAAAAACTACCTCAAACCGCGGACGTACCTGCAATGGGGGACCGTCCACGGTTGCGATACCGGTTCCGCCGTATAACATTTACGACGTAGGGGGCGTTTGAATATTAGATGTCACAGCGTGTAGGCAACGTCGAGTGGATCAGTCCTATGTGTATCGCGAAATGTCACAGCGCCCCCTTCGATGACTGCGCGGGAAAGGCGCGCCACCTTCTATCATCCCATAGCAGGTACGTCCGCGGTTTGATGTAGTTTTCTATGGAGTGGTCCGCGGTTGCAGGCGATAACCCATGCACACACATACAAGTACTAAACTTGGTCCACGTTTGACGCCATAAACGTGTAGTGGTGTATGTGTGTGTTTGAGAGAGAGAGAGAGAGAGAGAGAGAAGAGGATTGTATGTGTGAGTGTGAGAGATATATATAGAGAGAAGATGTGTTTGTATGTGTTTTTTTTTTGGGGGGGGGGGGGGCTAGGTGTGTAAAATATGCTACAATGGCATTTCAACAATTGTATGTGAACGCTTGTTATTATTTCGCAATACCCGGTTATGTTGAATTTTCCCAGACAGATGTTGCGCAATAGCATGTAGACAATGCCAGAGCAGCTTTTATTTATTTACCAAAACCATACATAGGCCTAGACAGGGGCGCCAATTTCTTTTCATGGGGGGGGGGGGCAAAATACGAGGGGCGAGGGGGCATAGCGTAAACTGTTTACTCACCTGATACCAATGGAATACAGATTTTCTACAATACTTGTTCATTTTGAATGATATTATGCGAGGGAGCGTAGCGACCGATCGAGAAACTTTTTCGCTTATGTATTAATCAAAAGATATGGTCACAACACCTAAAAGTAGCCTGTTCGGCAGACGGGCGGCGAGTTTGAGCCAATTTCGCTCGGGCACCGCTTGTTTTAAGGGCATCGCACGGTCGCTGCTGAAGTCTTAGCGCGGAGTTAAAGGGATAGGTGAGTTTTGTTTCAGACCGCAAATGCGTTCATAGTGCATGGCTATTGCTCTTATTCTTATCTATGACATTTATAGTGCCCTTTTAGAACCTAAACTTGCTATGAAGGTAATTTAAGAACCCAAAATGTGTGAAATTTAGCCAATACGATTATACCAATTCAGCTCCACTTTAAAAAAAAAGCACGGTGACCGTTAATTGATTATTTAATTAAACATAATAATACATGAGCCGGTTAATTGTGGGTAATATAAGCAACACGAAAATGCCAACAAAAAATACGACGTAAAAGGCGTTATTTTGTTTTTCAACGGTTTTTTCAAATTTTTCAAAATATCTATTATTTGTGGTGGCACACAAGTATTAGAAATCGTTACATTTCA